TCTTTTTCACGTTTTGGTACTAGTGTAATATTTGCTTCCAGTAATGACCTAGAAAACATTGCTGCCCTTTCAATTTCATTGAAGAGTTTAAGGAGTGTCAGCATTAGGTCTTCTTTGTATTTCTTGTAGAATTCTGCAGTGAATCCGTCTGGGCCTGGGCTCTTGTTTGTAGGTAAGGACTTAATTACATTTTCAATTTCATTAATAGAAATTGGGTTATTCAGCAGTTTTACATCCTCTTGACCTAGCTTTGGTGCTTTATATTTTTCTAGGAATCTATTTCTTCTGTGTTATCAAACCTTTGAGAGTAGAGGTTTTCAAAACAGGTGTTGATCTGAATTTCTATAGAGTCTGAAGTGATTTCGCCTTTTTCATTTCTTATTGCATAAATTTGTGCTTTTTCTTTCCTTTTTTAATAAGATTGGTTAAGGGCTTATCAATTTTATTTATTCTTCAAAAGACCCAACTCTTTTTGATTCATTGATTCTTTGGATTGTTTTGTTAGTCTCTATTGCATTGATTTCTGCTCTGATTTTTATAATTTCCTCTCTTCTTTTTGCTATGGGCTTCACTATCTCTTCTTTTTCTAGATGTTTGATTTGTAGCATCAGGTTATTTATTTGTATTTGTTCTATTTTCCTAATGTGGGAACTCAGTGCAATAAATTTTCCTCTGAGGATGGCTTTCATTGTACTCTGCCAATTCCAGTAAGTTGTATTTGTATTTTCATTTTCTTGTAGGTATTGTTTAATTTTTTCTTTAATTTCCCCTCTGATGCACCGATTACAGCATATGGAATAATAGTGTGTTATTCAATTTCCATGTGTTTGTGGGATTTTTGCAGTATCTTTTATCATTAATTTCTAATTTCATAGCACTATGATCTGGTAACATGCAAGGGATAATTTCAACTCTTTTTCATTTATTTGAATATGTTCTGTGAGCTAATATATAGCCTATTTTAGAGAATGACCCAAGTACTGCTCAGAAGAATGTGTATTCTGACGTTGTTGGATGGAACACTCTGTATATGTCTATCAAGTACATTTGTTCACAAGTGTGATTCAGTTCTGTTATTTCTTTGCTGATTTTCTGTCTAGTTGATCTGTCCCTTGGTGTCAATGATGTGTTAAGGTCTCCTGTTACAATTGTGTTACTGATAATTTGATTTTTTCATTTCTGTTAATACTTGTTTTATATAACTCAGTGCTCTGAAATTTGGTGCATATATATTTAAGATAGTTATCTCTTCCTCTTGAAGTTTCCCCCTAACAAGAATGTAGTGAGCTTCTTTTTCTCTTTGGATCATCATTAGTTTAAAGTGCACACTGTCTGCAAACAGAATGGCTACTCCTGCTTTTTTGTTGGGGGCGGGGGGGAGTTCCTGTTGTGAGAAATATTGTTTTCCATCCTTTGACTTTCAGTCTGTGAGTATACTTTTGGGTTAGATGGGTTACTTGTAGACACCATATGGTTGGATTTTGTTTCTTGACCCATTCTGCCAGTCTGTTTCTTTTAATTGTGGCATTGAGACCATTTACATTAATGGTTATAACTGTTATATATTGGTTTATTGTTGACATGTTATCTTTTGCTGTTGCATCTTTATCTTTCTGTTCTGTTTAATTATCTGCTTTGCTTAGTGGTTTTTTCCTAAGTGTATCTAAACTGTCTTTCAATATTTTTTGCAGGATTGGCTTGGTGATGATGAAGTTCTTCAGCTGTTCTTTGTCATGGAAGTATCTTAATTCACCATCGATTTTGAAAGACAGTTTTACAGGGTACATCAGTCTAGGTGAGAAATCATGTTCCTTTAGGATCTGAAATACTTCACTCCATGCTCTTCTTGACTTTATTGTTTGTGCTGAGAAGTCTGCTGTGATTCTGGTAGGTTTTCCTTTATAGGTGATCTGTCTTTTCTCTCTGACAGCTTTTAATATTCTATTCTTATGCTGGATTTCTGGGATAGTAATTATTACATGTCTAGGTGTAGTTTTATTTTGGTTATGACTGTTTGAAGTTCTATATGCTTCACTGACCCTACTGTTGTTTTCCGATCTCGTGTTTGGGAAATTTTCAGCTATTACTTCTCTAAATATCCTCCTGACATTCTTTATGTTGCCCCCTTCTTTTTCATCAATGCCTATCAATCTTATGTTGGTTTTTTGTGTGTGTGTCATCTTGCAGTTGTTGAGTTGTTATTTCCTGATTGTTATTTTTAAAAGATCTTTCTTTTCCTGTTCCCTAGCTGCAATCTTGTTTTCAAGGTATGAAATTCTGTCTTCACTTTCATTGAGGCTCTTTTTAAAGCTTTCGGTGGAATTTTTGATTTCCTGTATATCTCTGTGCATCTGCTTTATGTATTCTGTTTGTTTCTTATATTGCTCATCCAGGGATTCCATCTTTTTGTTTAGTTCCTCCAATTTTTAAACTGTGTTTTCTTTAGATATATTCAGCATCTTTCATTTCTTTTATCATTTCTTCTTTTACCTGGGAGATTATTTCTAGTTTGAATTCCTTTAAAGCTTCCCAGAGTTGTTTGTTTATTTCAGTTGCAATTATGTCCAATATTTGAGGTGTATGGCATATGTTTTATTCTGTATACATTGTTCCTAAGGTTTCTTTGGATGGGCTAAATGTTTGAGATTGTAATTTGTCTTTCATTTTGTCATTTTTCTATACTTCTGTGTTTCAAATTTTTCGAGTGTTATTCTAAGGCTTCCTCGGGGTCTGTTGGAAATCCTCTTCTATGCCCTCAACTTCTTGGACTGTTGCACCCAGTTTTCTTAATTGATAGAGGGTCTCTGGGGGTGGAGCAGTCCACGTCAAGCCAGCCTCTGGAACTGATAGTGCCTGCCTGCTTCCTTAGCACTGCACAGTCTGCCAAGCACAGCCAGGAGAGGGGAGACTGATGGCTGCTCCTGGGACCTGCCACACTTCTCCAGTGCACTGCAAGCCACAAGGTTCCCTGGCTGAGGCTGAGAGAGGGTCCCAAACTAGCTGGGCTTGGGGTTAAGTGTGCAGTGTGCAGGGCACTTACGCCAGGCCGCTGGGCCTCTGGAACTGTTGGTGCCTGCCTGCTTTCTTAGAACTCCACGGTCCCCCAAGCACAGCCAGGAACGGGGAGCAGATGCAGGTGCCCCAGACCCGCCAAGCTGTTTCAGTGCACCAGAAGCTGCCTACTGGCTTTGCCATCTTTCAATGGAGTTTTTGATTTCCTGTATATCTCCTTGAATCTGTTTCATGTATTCTAAATGTTTCCTTATTGTTCATTCAAAGTTTCCATCATTTTCCTATTCCCCTCTATTTTTTTGTCTATATATTCTTTGGATATACTCATGAATTCTTTCATTATGTTTATCATTTCTCTTTTTTTTTTTGCCTGAGGGATTATTTCTGATCTTATTTTCTTTACAGATTCTTTGAGTTGTTTCTTTATTTCTGTTGCTATCATTTCAGAAATTTCAGGCATATGATTTCCAATTTAATCCATGCCCATCCAGATCAAGTAATTCCATTACTTGATCTGGATGGGCTGCCAGTTTGAGATTACATTTTTTTCTTTCATTTTGGCATTTTGCTGTATTCCTCCAAACCAGCTGGATGTCTAGTCCTAGTTGCTTCCTGCACTGGTATCCTGTTTGGCTTCAGGCCATTCTGCATGTTCCCAATGGCTGTGGATCTCTGGGGCTAGGTTCCTGTTCCCTGTGGGCCTCAGAGATGGTACCTGTGTGTAGGCAGGTCTTTGGATCATTGGGTGCAGCTCACCACAGGACTCACCAAAGGTTCCTGGAAGACTTTGGGATGCTGGAAGCAGACTTCCAGCCTCTGTGAGCCTCACTGAAGGTTCCTTAGAACTAGTATATGGTCTATTTTAGAGACTCCTAATCCCCTAAGGCCTTATCAAGTGTTTCCAGGTGACTATGGTACTGGGCACAGACTCCCCACAAGCCTCAGCGGTAGTTCCCAGGTGTGGTCAGGTCACTTGGTGCAGTTTTCTAGTCCTTAGGGGCCTCTAGAACAAATTTTCATCCAATATCTTGTTTTCTTTTCATATGGTTCATGTGTAATCATATACACTCCAACACAAAAAGGATATAGTTTGCTGCTTTTAAATTTGTGAACAGGCTATTATGCTTTATATATTCTCTTTCACATATATTTTCATATATACATTGCTTTGTTTTGATTAAGTCCATTCATTCTGGATTTTGGATAACAGTTCATTATTCACATAAGCAATCCCACTTCCTATTTAAGTGCTTGAGGTTTCTAAGATTTTACTAATTCATATTTGTGCTTTTATATAGTTATAATTCTAAAAACAGTAGAGTAACATACAGTATAGTAGAGAGAGTAGAGTAGAATAGATAAACTTAAAATCATACAAAATTTATATATACCCAGAAGAAAAAAGGCAACTTCCAATCTGGACTGGCTCTTACTGTGTTCAGGCAAGGGCAGTAGAGAGCTGCCTCTACCTGTATAGTTACTTTCCCATCACTGGCACAAAATATCTAATACTCACACTTCAAAAGAGAAGAGGTTTATTTTGGCTCACAGTTTCATAGAATTTATTCCATGCTTGACTGGCTCCAAGGCAGAAATGATATGTGGAAATGAATTACAGAGGAAGTTGCTCAACCTACAGCAGCCAAGAAGTAGGAGAGAGTGAGAGAGGGAGATAGAGAGACAGAGACAGAGACAGAGACAGAAGAGCCTGAGAAAAGGCACCACATCCTAACAACACATTCAGCTAGTGAACTTATGAATGGATTAGTTCACTGAGAAGAATAGAACCTCCATGATCCAATCAACTTCCAAAGGCCCCATCTTTCAACATATTTCATTTTGGTTTAAAACCATAAGCATCCATTACAGTGACTGGTCATCTGATCCACAGTTCCAGACCAGACTCTGACCCCAAAAGGGTGAAGTTGAACCCTGGCTGCTACCTCTGACCTGTGAGAATGATGCTGACAAAAGAAACAAGGGGCCGGTGAGGCTCTGCATGATACTTTATTATTTAGAAATATAGAAGAGGAGTGAGAAACTGACCATTTGGAAGTAAATCATGACCTTCCAAAGGAACAGCTCAGTCTTTCAGAGCCCAGGACAATGAAGACAGATAAAGGAGGGAGGGTGAGCAGGGAGGAACAGGTTTTCTGCATGTTGGTTCCTCCAGCACTGCTTCTCTGAGGTCGTTTGGCTCAGGTCAGCAGCAGCAACCAGAGCCCCCAGACTGCTGGCCACTACCACCGCCACTGCTGCAGCAGCCACCGCCCCCGCCACTGCTGCAGCAGCCACCACCACCACCACTGCTGCAGCAGCCACCGCCACCGCCACTGCTGCAGCAGCCAGAGCTCTGGTGTCGGTGTCGGAGTCGAAGAGATCTGCGAGGCCTGTGGTGGCTCAGGCAGCAGCCACCACCTCCGGAGGCACAGCAGCTCCCAGAGCTAGAGCCACAGCAGCCACTGGAACCCAGGCTGCAGCAAGAAGAGACTGGGGGGCATTTAGGGGGACATTTCGGGGGGCACTTTGGGGTGGGGCACTTGGGAGGGCACTTGGGAGGGCACTTGGGAGGGGGTTGGCACTGCTGCTGGTTCTGCTGACAGGACATTTTTCAAGAGGAAGTCAATAAGCCTAAGGAGAAAATTTTAAAACCATCAGGACAAGTGTCAAGGTATATCCTTGGATTTCACTGGGCCCTATTTCAAAACAAGCTACTTTGTGAACAAGATCTATAACCAGAATTTGGAAACTGATACAAAATAAAATTGCCCACAGTAGAAATATTTTCTCTCTCTAGCATTTCTTTCTCCTGCAATGAAAGATTCTGACCTTTATTCTACTTGGGCTTTAATACCAGCCCCATACAAAGGACTGTGAACATAGCTGGCTCTCATTCAGAAGCTTTTCTTTATTTTTACACATGTCCATGTTGAACCCATCTGAGAACATTTATTTCAGAGGACTAGACAGAAAGATATAGGAGGTCCAAATGTCTGCAGTTTGACTGCTGTGGTTCTAACACACACACACACACACACACACACACACACACACACTTCTCTCAATGCAGTTTACTTAGTTGCATTCCCTCCCTAAAATGGGACAGTTACAGACCCATGATCTGCTTCTTTCCAGACACTTACCAGATTAAGACAAGTCAAGAGAGAATATCCTTAACAAAACAGTAAGACAAGCCTAGGCATATGTCAACTGTAGGCTAAAGAATACATCTCACCCAAGGGGACTCCTCCTCCTCTTTTCATGCCACCTTCTACCCTCTCTCCAAGGAGTCCCGCAGGCCTCCTGCATCAGACCAAGTCTTGGTCAAGCACTCACCTAGTCAGTGGAAGCAGTAAGATCTGTGCTAGTTGAGGACTGAGGAACCCAGAGCTAAAGGAGCCCTTTTATCCTGGGCCTGGCATTTTCTCTAGAGTGAGGCAGAGCCTAAGTATCCAAAGCCAATACTTTCACAATTAGCCTGAAGGTGACTCTTCTCACATTCCCAACCCTAGGGCTCTGGGAGTTCCCTGGGCAAGGCCAAGAAGAATCCCGGAAGCTAACGATTGCATAGGTATCTATCCACAGGCCTCCCACAGGCCAGCCATTCCATATTCATGCATTCACTCATTCATTAATTCAAGAAATATGTATTATTTATATATGGCCCATAATTTTGTAACATATCAATGACACAAAGTTGACATGGGTTACTCTGAGGTCTTACCACATGAGTATGTAAATAAATATTTTTTTGTTTGGTTACTATAGCTATCTCCTAGGGTAGTTTCAGTCTTTCTACCTTAGAAGCCAATTGAAAGTCAGATATATGTTTTAGTCTTTTTTGGATTCCATGTGCTTGGTAAAGTGCCTGGCACAGTAAATTTAGGAAGAAGATCACAAACATTGGGAAAGACAAAGGCAGGTGTTTATAGAACACTGAGGCAGAGGTGTGGCCTTAATGAAGCAATCTCGAGGATCTCAGAATCCCTTACAGTAAGACTGATTCCCAGGAGGTAGAATATTATTTCCACAGAGACCAGAAGTTAATTCCTGAAAGTAAGTTACTTAAAAGCATGGCTCCATGGCAGTGAAAGCAGGTGGGAACAACAGTGGCCGGGTAGTGAATGGGCACAAAGGAATCAACAACGCATAGAAGCTAAGGCCTTGAGGAGCAAGACAGCCAGCTCTGGAAGGGCAGTAAGCACACGGATACAGCTGGGGTCTTGAGATGTGAAGGGCTTAGGAGAGAAACAAATATTAATTTGAAGTTGAAAGTCCTAACAGGCTTTTCACTTAGTTTAAAAGTGCTTGAGGATTACAATAGCTATACTATTAAGCTACTGTGTACGTTTAGGTGGATACTCAAAGAGAAGAGATGTAAGACATTGGTGGGACTTTTAAGTTGACAGTAATTCAGCACCTCCAATTAGAACACCAGGGTCACTTGGCTTTAAATGTGGAATTTTCACCAAACTTAAAGACTTCCTAATGTAATCAGGGTGTCCTTTTCAAAAGAAGACAATCTCCTGGTGGTATTTGCTAGGCCTTAATAAGAATATGGCAGGGTATCATCTAAAACAAAATGAATTGCCTTCTTAATAATGAAATGGTCACTTGAAGATATAAAAAGTGGATAAGTTTACTAAAGGATAACAAGCATGCTAAGGGGAGAAAGAGACAAAATGAAATATAGATATTTCAGTGTGTAGGGAATTTAGATATATTAGTCTTTTTCTTTTATTTTTATTTTTTACTGTAACAAAATACTCTGAAATGAAGAGATCCATTTTGGTTCACATTTATGGGGGTATAAAGCTTATGGGTCTTGTCTGGTGATGGCCTTTTTCCCAGTGGAGTCCCAAGCAATACAGAAGATCACAGGGCAAGAGTCAGACAGCATGTATGGGTTCATGTGACTCTCGCCCTCTTCTTATGGATATCACTCTAATGATTATCTAACCTTAATCACTTTCCAAAGGACACACTTATAAGCACCACAACTTCCTAACCCTATAATAGGGATTAGATTATACTCAAAATATATTCATACCATAGAAGGAAATGTAAAAGTTAAGAAGTCCAAGAAAGAATAGTGAGACACATAGCTGAAAAACTCATGAAATCAAAAACCTATCATGTTCTGGGAGAAAGAAATTTCAAAATAAAAGAGGCTTTCAATTAAAAAAAAGGGTCAAATGCTAGATGAAATTTGGATGAAATTGCAAATAATAACTTAATATAATCATTTTGTTTATTTTACTTTACTTTGTGTGCTGCTAAGACTTAATCTAGGACCTTGCACATGATTAAGTAAGTACTCTGCTGAGCTACACTCCCAGACCTGGAAATAGAAGTTCAATGGTGAGGACTGAGAGAGTACATGATAAAATCTTGTGAAATAGATGTCACTTAAATGAGTTTAATGGGAGATAGATGAACGATGAATTTCAAAAAATAAGGACACTATGATATTTGTAGTAGACATAGCAGACAGAGTAAAACTGTGATGGTGAGTTGTCCATTGGACTTGTGGTATTGAGTCAAAAAACTATAGCAATTCACAAAACTTGATTTTTTAGATGAATCTTTCTTAAATCTTGATTTTAAGAGTTCAGGAATTTTAAAGAAAGGATTATTCAAAATCCCATGATTGATGAAAGTATTAGTGTAATAAATGACCCCCATTAATGATACTGACCCTCATTATACTTCTAGTCAAAAGAAACTAGAGCTAACATCAAAAGATCAAAGTATTAAAACATATGGCTGAATGAATTAACAGATGGTATTTCATAGTGTTAGTTTAAAAGGACCGCTTTGGAATCATGGACTTAACTTAGCATTCTATTGACTTCCTATTGCCTATTGACTTCCTCTTGAAAAATGTCCTTTCAGCAGAACCAGCAGCAGTGCCAACCTCCTCCCAAGTGCCTAAGCTCACATAACTTAGCATTCCTATTTCTACTTTGAAACTATGCAAATTTAAGCTACCGATACTTTCTAAGGCAGTTTCATTGTCTGCAAAACAGTGATTATAGTTCTACTTATCTATAAGCATAAAATAGTATATTGCTTACAGAGCACTGAGCACAGATCACCCACATGGCTGGAAAATGTAGCTACTTCTACAGCCACTACCACTCTGCTGATTATTATTGTTTTACATGCTTTGGTATTTAAATAGGCACAATTTGGCCTCACAAGATTCCCTTGGTCCAGAGAACTGATACTACAGATATAACTAAAAGTCTTGATGTTGTGCTGTTTTCCTTATTGGACTCAGCATATGAAAATAAAGATGACAAATGAATGAGGACTAAGTGTGTCTCATTCAAATTCATTTGTTAAACACTTTCGGTACAAAGCGTTATTAGGCTAGGTAATACAGAGTATTTGGAGAGATTTGGAAACTACTCTCATGCTTAAAGGTAACTGTTTAAGTAAACTTTACCATCTGGAGAACTGAGTAAACAAGTCCTTCACTATCTTTCACATTAGAAAGACAGTGATTGCTACAGGCAAATTTATTCTCTGGGAAAGGAAGGTGTGACTGTAGGCAGGTACTGAATGAAAATGAGCAAAGACAGAGATATAAAGATTAATGCTGAAACTATAGTGTGTAAGAATGAGAAGCAGACAGGTGTAAGAGGAATCTGAAGACAAAAGTCTATATAGAACATTAATAATATGAAGACAATGAAGAAGAGATTGTGATACAAATTGATATGAGGTAAATGATTTGAAACTTCTTGCATTTAATGTAGAACTCTATTAAGGTAAATGATTCCAAGTGTTGTGGAAACTCACAGAAGGAAACCATTCTATGGTTTGGAAAAAGTAAAACATTTTCAGGAGAATTATAACTAAGGATTGGCATTTGTGGTGGCTGCATATTCTTAATTCAAGAGAATCAACCATGTGCAAAAATTATGTTATAAAATAAATTGACCTCAATTTGTTTCCCATTATTGCTGATAATATTAAAACTTGACTCTTTTTACATTATATATTTGTCAAACTCACAATTAAGTTGGGATAATTGTTTTAAGATAGTGGTCTTAAAATACAGTTATGATGAAAACTTCTAGTTATAATTAGAGCTTGACTTTCCTGATACAATGAGATCCAACTTACCTTTGTAAAGTTTTGAGTGTTTTAAATAAAGGTTGAAAATTCTTCAGCCTGCCTAACTCTAAGCCATGAAGAAATTCTAATTTCTTTGCAGACACCTGCTGCAATATGAGTATGTATGAGGACTTGGGCAAATAGATGCAGGAAATTAAGGAGAAAAGAAAAGAACACAGGGCAACATTTCCCCTTCTCTCTGTTCAGAAGGAGATGGCTGTTCATGCTGAGGAAAGGTGATCAGATGTCCTTTCGTCAAAACAAAAAATACAGAGGCCTTTTCCCTAGACCTCTTTGTTCACACACAAGAAATGGAGAATACTTTCTGACTTATGAGAAAACACAACTCTGTTGATGTCCCCTTTGCAGAAAGGTTGGACCTAAGAGGAAGATAGGAAATCAGATCCATGGATTAGTGGGTAGTGGTATATACTTAGTAACTCATGGGATTATTTTCCCATTCCGGATTCACATCAGGATCCATGGGTGGATTAGAGTTTGTGCCTCTTGTTTTCCAGCTCAGGCAAGAATAATTAAAGATAACGCAAATCATTTTATGTGCTGTCTCATCCAATTCTTATAGCAGCATACATACAAAATAATAATTATTCTTATTTTGTCAATGTAGAGATGTAGGCAAAAGAAGATTAGGCAACTTGCCCAAAGTTCAAGAATTATTGATAGACTTGAGGTTTTAACCCAGGCATTCTAATTTCAAAGCCATAATGCAGAAGTACCATACCAATCCTTTTCCTGGCTATAGGAAAGAAGGCTATTTCGATAGATACAACTATTTCCATAAGCAAATGTATAAGCACTTTTCATTGTGAAGCAAGTGGCAACCATCAGAGAGCTATTTAAATCACACAACAAAGGCTTTGGTGAGACTCAAGAAGTATATATTGGGAAGAGTCATTGTTTGATATGAAATATACATGGCCTCTGAGTTTTTTAAACCCTGTCCTTCACTCTTGACAGCAGATCCCTCTGCACCCCATTCCTTGCCCACTAAACCTCTTATCCAATGCTTGAAACATGGCTTCATTTTCTACTGCAAGTGTAGGTAGTGAAATGAATTGTGCTCACACACAACCATGCATTCCTACATACAAGGAGAGGTTCCACCTACAGAGCAGGCGATAGCAAACCAGAAGCAGTGACCCCCATCTCACAGAGCAGGAGATCCACACCAGCCACAATTCATTTCCAAAGTGCTCTTCTCTCTATTGATCCCCAAACTCCCTAGAACTGGGTAACAGGAAGAAAACCTTGAAGGATTTGCCTGGCCTTAATCTTAGGAGAATTCTTTGCATCTTCCAGACTGATGACTATTTTCATTTCTTATT